CCCCTTCTTCCGGCCGCCCCCTGCTTCCAGCCTCATTCTGTTGCAGAAGGAGGAAGAAGCAGGAGGGTAAGTTGGCGTCCTCCCCCTCTGCCTGGCCGAGGCCACTCCACGTGGCCTCTGCAAGGACTCCCAGCCCCATCCAGGAGCTTCCCCGAGGTAGCTGTGTTAGTCTGTTGCTGCAAAATAGTCCAAGAGTTCAAATAGCACCTTTAAGACTAACAAATAGCACCTTTAAGACTAACCTTTAACACACTTCCAGTGATGTCAGGGGGTGTGGCCTTATGACACACTTCCGGTGATGGCAGGGGGTGTGGCATATGCTAATGAGTTATGCTAATGAGTTCCCCTAGCTCTTTTTCTACGAAACGACCCCTGCTCTACAGGAAATTTCTTTTGCTGCAGGACAAGCTGTTAAGACAGAACTCTCGTTTTCTCGGTCCTTCCCTAGATTGAAGTAATGCACGAAGCGAGTCAAGGAGGGTCCAGCAGAATTTTGGTCATGAGCGAGAGCGAAGAGAACCTTTCCACCAGGAGGAGGTAAGGAAGACGCCATTGGCATTAAACCATGGGTTCTTTAAGCAAAGACTGTGATGAGTTGGTGTTGTGCTGCACCAGTGCAAAGTTTAACGCTAATTATTTCCTGGCAAAGCAAGCCTCAGAGCTGGAATCGACAACGCTTCAATAGGCATTTTGTGAAATCAGTTAATCCCTTCCCAACAGGGTTCTCGGTTTCTAAACCTGAAGCATCATCAGCTACGGTTCTTGAGCCATTAGCGTCGAACGCCGGGTAAATCGCTGCCGGCTTGTAAAAGGAGCTGCTGTAATGTTCAAGTCTATGAAGTTACGAGATAAATTTCAAGGATTCTGTAACGGTCGTAGGTTCAGTGTCACAGGGGAAAGTGTTTTACTTTATTACAGGTGCATCTATAATAACATAGTCCGTTTTTTTTCCTCCCAGAAGACCACTGGTAGCTATCCTTTTTTAAAAACAACAACTGGAAGATAGGTATGGGCTAGGGTTACTGGGGCCCCCGGTTCGGTGGGGGTTTCCTGATTTGGGGGGGGGCTCTTTCCCATCCACCAGCCAGCTGGCGGAGGAAGCCCCACCCCCACGAATGACCACCTGGCCTCCCCACCAGCATTTAAAGGAAGCCTTTAAACACTGCTGGGGAGAGGCAGGGCCCTCTGCTCCCCAATGTCATGACGTCACTTCCGTGTGATGTCATCATGCTGGGGACACCCCACCCCCTCCCCTCCAGTAACACCCCCCAGAGTACCCCGCTGGGTACTATGAGGGACCTGGCAACCCTAGTATGAGCTAAAGATCCCAGATAATTTTTTCCTTTTTTTAATGAGGTTTTTTTTTTAATTTTTTCGTGTGTGTGTGTGTGAACCTGGAAATCATGGCAACCTCTGGGGTGACTGACTGACTGTGTGTGCACCTGGAAGTTATGGCACAAGAACATTTGAGACGCCAATGTTGGATCAGGCCAAAGGCCCATCCAGTCCAACACTCTGTGTCACACAGTGGCCAGAAATACCAGTGCCATCAGGAGGTCCACCAGTGGGGCCAGGACATTAGAAGCTCTCCCACTGTTGACCCCCCCAAGCACCAAGAAGACAGAGCATCACTTGCCTCTGGTGACTGACCCCCTACTGGGGGCCTGGGGGATATTCAGAGAGGTGGCTAAAGAAAGCCTGCCCCCGCCTCCCGGCTGTTGGTATTCCAAGGAGGTCTCCCATCCAAGGACTTGCCAGAGCGACCCTGCTTAGCTTCCGAGATCTGATGAAATCGGGCTTGCCTGGGTTATCCAGGTCAAGCCAAGGCCCAAGAGAATTTTCATCACGCTACAGTCCCCAAGATTAGCTAAAAAAAGCAGTGACAGTCCAACTGGTATGAAACAGTTGTAAAATCGTAATAGATCCTGTTAAGTCACTGGTATAAGCTTTAGGGAGAACCGCATGGGCACACGAATGAACCTGGGACCTTCTGCGTGCCAAGCAGATGGCTCTGCCCCGAGCCGCAGCGTCTCCCCTCTCACAATACTAGGTCTCCGTAGAGTTTCCTAGGTCAGACTCACTTCAAGCTCCTTCTTAGAAAACCACGGCACACCTGTGAGTCTAAGGCAGTGTGCACAAAATAGTCAGTTCACCATCCTTTTCAAACTTGCCTGTGGCAGCAACGACAGATTATGGTTGTACGCCGTACTAGCAAGAGAGGGTGGCGGGCAAAGGGGCAGTTTGCACATTAGGGTAGAGACCAGGGCCGGCTCACTCACTAGGCGCTTGCCTAGAGCACGCCGGCCCTTAGGGGCACCAAACTGGCACACACACCCCGTCCTGGTTCAGCTGGAAACACTACTGAGTTTTAAACATGTTATGATCTTTCTGATGATAAAAACACCAATTCCACCAAAGAACTTAGCCCTCTGGGCACAGAAGGGTCACTCAGCTGAGTCAAAGAAGAACCTAAGTAGGGGGGCTATTACACAAGGACACTCAAGTTGCAACTGACTTATGGCAACCCCAGCAAGGAACTGTCAAGGCAAGTGAGAAGCAGAGGTTGTTTGCGACTGCGAGTGCCTTTCTTTGCAGAGTCTTCCTTGGTGGAAGCCAGATGTGCAAAGCAGGCAAAGTTACAAAAGCAAAAGTGAGTGTTAAGAGCATGGGTGCCAGGGGAACGGGAGGTCCGGGGTACAGATCCAATTAACGGGTCCGAGCCATGGTGGGCGCATGGGGGGGGGGCGCCAGAAGGGATCCTCGCCTAGGGTGCAAAATAAGCTGGGGCCGGCCCTGGTGGAGACATAGCAAGCACCTGCCGCCCCAAAGCTCCTGGAGCTACGGATCGCCAGGACTAGACCTGAAGAGGCATCTCTGAACCAGGGATGCCAAGGGACTAGTGGAAAGAGGTCAGAGGTCACCACATTTGACGGCAGCCCTATTTGAAAGGCTACGTTTCCATCATGGTTTTGGAGGGAGACACCGTCCTTGTTCCAATCCCTTGCTAGTAATTACTGGCTGCCGAGAACAATGTGGCAGGTGACCCACGCTGGAAATACTTCTGCTGCGAACAATAGCCAACAAATTCCCCGATCGACAAGCCTTGGTTTCTTGCCCAGCTGCTGTTTCACAAAAGGAAAGGGAAGCATTGTTGGAGGCCCAACACCTCAGTATTTTGTATACGTGCAAGGCAGCAGAGAGAGTTTTTCACACTGTGCTGAAGATCAGAGCCACAGTACAAGAATCTGCACATCCTGGTGATTAGTCAATAGATTACATCTCTTTGACCTGGCACCCTACATGTGAGAACCTATACAGACAAAGTCACGAGTGGGCAGAAACCGCTTTTTCTTCAAATAAAAATTCCGCAGTGCAGCAGCTCAAGCGAAGGGTAAGTGAAACGTAATCCATTTCCAGGAAGGTGGACCTCACAAGTGCCCCAGTATGGCTCTGGTCTGCAGTGTAACTGATTGGAGTCTGTCCTCTCCCATGTGCTCACATATGCTCGGGCACTTCTGGTAAACAGGCTATTGTAATGTATTCAAAGCTGCCTTGAATGCAATGTCGTGAAACATTTAACTGAAATGTAATGTTGAGCTTCGTCCTGGTAAAACGTAAAGGTAAAGGTTCCCTTGCTCGAAAGCCAGTCGAGTCCGACTCTAGGGTTGCGGTGCTCATCTCCGTTTCAGAGCCGAAGAGCCAGCGCTGTCCGAAGACATTTCCGGGGTCATGTGGCCGGCACGACTAAACACCAAGGCGCACGGAACGCTGTTACCTTCCCACCGAAGTGGTCCCTATTTATCTACTTGCAATTTCTTGCTTTCGAACTGCTAGGTTGGCAGGAGCTGGAACTAAAGACGGGAGCTCACTCCGTCATGTGGCACACCACACCCGGGTCTCGAACTGCTGAACTACCGACCTTCCACAGCCTGCAGCTCAGCATCTTAGCCACTTGAGCCACCGCAGCTAGGATCCAAATCCATCCATTAGTATTGCTAGCCCAGGAAGTAACAAACCAATCACTTCAAGCAAGCTCCCTGAGCAAGAACGAATGTGATTGGACCTTATCTCGGCCACCTCATAGGTTGATATGTGTACAGTGGGTGTGGCTACATTAGCCGGGAATGTTTAAAAGCAGGACAGCTGCAATGTAAAGGCTGTTCTGTCTATCAGATGTTGATCCGTGTTGGGAGTTGTGTTCGAGTTGAAGAATAAAGTTGTGTTCTTGCTGAATCACTCTCCGACGACTCTGTTAAGCGAACGACTTAACAGCTATGCAGGTTTTTTATATTTCCCCCCAAACCTGCAAAACCTATTTGAACCAGTGTATGCAATGCCTTTCAAACCACTTGCAGCTCTCTTTAAAGAGAGTCCCTGTCTCCATCTGTACCACCCACGAGATAAGAGGAAAACTGTATCTAAGATGCAGAGGAAAGGTAAAAAGGGACCACACATGAGATTTCCTGTAAAGGCCCCCCCCCATTCCCCTGCATATATTCCAGAGGATTCTGCTTCTCCAGGAAGTTCCTTCCTTCCACTGGCAGGATGAGACACTTGTAATCCTGAGGCTGTTCTGTTGTTCAAAGCCTTTAAGTCCGACACTGTTTTTCTCCCAGAAATGAACCATAGAATCTGAAGACGTGTGCTTGCACATGAAAACTTATATCCAGAATAAAACTTTGTGGGTCTTAAAGGTGCCACTGGACTCAGACTTTGTTCTGCTTCTTCAGACCAACACGACTACCCACCTTGATCTATCTCCGTGGAATTCTAAGGACACTTTTCTAGGAGTAGTCCCCATTCTCACACCTTTGTTTCCTTTTTCATTCCATCAGGAATGAAAGATGTGGCTCAAACCAAGCCAGCTTGGTGTAGTGGCTAAGCGCGTGGACTCTAATCTGGTAGAACTGTGTTCGATTCCCCACTCCTCCTCTTGCAGCTGGTGGATGGCCTTGGGCAAGCCGTAGTTCTGACAAGAGCTATTCTTGACAAAGAGCAGTTTCTGTCAAGAGCTCTCTCAGCCCCACCGACCTCACAGGGTGTCTGTTGTGGGGAGGGGAAAGGAGTTTGTAAGCCGCTCTGAGACACCTTTGGGTAGCGAAGGGCAGGGTATAAATCCAATCTCCTCCTCCTCCTCCATCAAAAAGGATGTCCATTTAGCACCACATCCGAATATTCTGTGACCTTAGTGCATTTTCCATATAGTAGTGAGATCACCTTAATTCACATAGTGATTATTGCAAATTACTTATATAAAAATAAGAACTTGCCAGTATGCTTCAAGTCTTTTAAGGTTTGCTTGCCCTTGAGGCATCTTTAATGCAGGTCGGCTTCTAGCCGAAGCCTGGGAAACTTGGTAACTCTTGACTGTCGGAAATAACTTCCATTGAGGTACATAGGTAGTATGCATGAGTTTTAGTTCTGAAGGCACCCCCAAAAAGGCAGACCTAGACATAATTACAAAATACACAAAACTGTTTATTGAAAACAGATATTTTACAAAAAAAAAACAACCCTTGTGATTCAGAGCAAAGTGTCAATAAATAAATTCTCTCTCTTTTTGTAAGAAAAAAAAATTGAAATAGCTGCAAACCAAACAGGTAAAAACTAGTTTCAGTAATACACACCTCTGTGCAACAAGTGTCAAAACTGGTACCTGAAGTGACCATTCAGGCCGATGCAATTTTAGTTTGCAAAGGAACAAAAATTGTCTAACAGCCTTGCATCTGGAGCACTGGCAAACCCGAGAATTTCCAATTTTAAAATGTGCGTATTTGTAGAGCAGACAACATTCTAAGCCCAAAAGGTGTAAGAAATGGTCCAGCTACCCTTTCAAAAGACAGGGGGAGCCTTCATTATTTCTCTAAATTGAGGCACATTTTTTTTCCTTACCTGAAAGCAGAGCAGACCATTCTCCATGTCCCTTTAAAGCGAATAAATACTTAAACACAACAGACCGGCTGTAAAAAAACAAACAAACCCCAAGCAAACAAAACGCACGCGCGCACACACACACACAAAAGGAACAACCACATGGTCAGTTCAAACAGTCGAGACAAGTTATAGGCGCTAGTTCAGGCTACCTTATGACAAACCGTGACTGGGCAAAGTTGCAGACGCTTCTGCCCATTGACATTCAAGAGCCAGCTTTGTAAGATCACAAAAATTCCCAAGCACATTCTTCAAGAAAAAGTTTTCTGTCATCAGGTGGTGGGTTGTTTTTTAAAAAAATCTTGGATGTGTCATGGTGTTGATTTTAAATTGCCCAGAAGGCTATAGAAAGTGTATCAATAACATCTACATTCAGTTTATCCTCTGCACTTGGGCTTCTGAAAACTAGCAGCTGCTAAACAACGTGGTAGGGGCAGCAGGCAATTCCCCCCCCACCCGAATTACAACAACAAAAAACAAGGTTTAGCTGGAGCTGTACACCTGACAAGCCATTTCACGACCAAGGCCTAACCAATGCTTCCATTCCATTCTGGAAACTGAAGGTGTAGCTGTTTTGTTCATATTGTGTAAAGAGACACACGAGTTGGGACGGGGGGGAAAATAAACTTATTTTTGTTTCCAAACCCCGCCCCCCCCAAGCCTTGAAGGAACAATATGTTTATATATATAAAGTTGGCACAGATTTTTAAAAGTTCAGAGAAATCTAAAGTGAACACTTAGTACTGCGTATTCTTGTGCTTTCCAAAATCATAGCTTTTTTTGATAGGTGGTGCCCCCTCTAGAACTTTTGTGCCATCTTTGCGAGGGGTATAACCCACTCCTTTTTTTTTTAAGTGTACTCTCCCTCCTCCTATTTCTTATGTTAAACAGCAACACAATGAGTGGGGAAGCGACCAGACTGTAGAGAAAACCAACGGAGAGGGTGACTGACGTGTGCTCTTTGTGGCCCTAATGTATTGTAATGTTCAGACATGCTCCTGCAAACACTCGAGATTTGACAGTTCACCTCCTCCCTTTACCAAACTTAAAGGAAGCATGATCTTCAAGGGAGCTTATTCCTATTGCAAACAGTTTACAATGGAAGGCTAGGGAGTGCAGATCCTGGGCTGGATCCACGGGGAATCCAACCCACGGTTTCCATTTGTTCAGCTGTATTGCTGGATTAATTTAAACCAGTGTCTGAAACCAACATTAGCACCTCTTATATAGATAGCATTTACATCTCCAAAGAGTTAAGTGATCAGTATTTAGTATTAAAATGCATAGCAAAACGAGTCACCATAGAATTAAGAAAGGAGTGGGAAGGGGAGAAAACGTTGACTAACTACCTGCAGTGAAAAGCCTTTGCAGCGATGTATGTTACTTGTCTTATATTTCCAAGCATTACTGCAATGGGAGAACACAGTACACGGACTTCTTATAAGACGTTTGTGTTTTCCCCAGTTCTGGTTCATTTTCAAGCTACAGATAGATCAGCATTTAGAAATGTAAACTTTTTTCTTTACGTTGGTTAATAGTTACCTAGCCAAATCTTAACCTGCTTGGAAGGAGACACGCAAACCATCCTATATGGAAACAAAACAGTTCAAATAGCTGTAAAAACACTTTGGTGAAGCTGTTAAAGAATTCGGACAAACCATCCTATATGGAAACAAAATAGCTGTAAAGACACTTTGGTGAAGCTGTTAAAGAATTCGGTGTAGAGGCAAATATTCACATTTTACATACGTTTCTTTCCCTTTTTTTTGGTATGTATCTTGAAAGAAACCAATTAAGAGAGATTTCTCATTCCAATTTTGGCTCAGTAAGTCCATGTTGGCATTCAAGTATTTAGAACACCGCTGCCATGCAGGGATATGTGCCCTGATAATATATTCTGCATAGCAACGCGATGTTAACTATCTTGCAATACATTCTACCAAAAAACCCAGAAGAAATGTTCTTCACTTTTGGGTCTGTAGCCTGCTTCCAAAGGTAGCGGAGGTCTTCTGTGTGGCCATGAGACGTTATCATTTTCTCATAAATGCAAGGATGATACGGAGCCTTCCCCTCCCCAGAAAAAAACTGGTGATACTGCGGTACAACCCCCATCTTGTTGGCACAGAGACCCATGAAGACATCGTCGATGTAAAGGCTTGTATTCAGCGTCTGTGAGGCCACAAATACTTTAGCTGCTACATCGCCGGATATTACATAAGCAGCCCCAGCTGTGTAGTCAGGATAAGCAGGCCACGGGTACATTTCGTACGAGACGTAGTATTTGCTGGTCTTATCTCTTACGGGAGGCGCTCCCCGATGGACGTGCCCAATCCAGAGATCCTGAACGCCGATCTGCGCAAGGGTTTGGAGATATGCAATGAGGTTTGGCATGTGAATGAAAATGTCATCATCCGCCGACATAACGAACTTGGCATGAGAGCAGTACCTGTTTACCCAGCTGAACTGCAAGAGCAGTTTGATGGTGAGGTTGTGAAAGGTATCCATGAAGTCCTGCTGGATCAGATCGCCGTACTTCTCGTCTTCCGCCTGAAGCCAGTTTTGCATTTGCTCCCTGTGTGCAGAGTCTTTCAGCTGTCCCAAAGCAAACAGGGTCCTTATGTTGGCGTCAAGGTGGGAACGGGCGTACTTATTGCTACCCCACGTTTGTCGAATCGCGTCTCTGCGGTAGCGGTTCCCAGGCGAGCTCTTCACGAACAGCAGGAGGAGGATGTCTTCCCGTTGACATTTTTCCGGGTGATTGATCAAGTATCGATAGCTTGCTACCCTGTCCATGTTGTCCCTGCTGAGAGAGAGGCTTTCGTTCACAAAAGCGTAGCTGTTGACGAGGTATCTATACGAGTAAGACTTCACATAGTCCAAAAAAGTACCGTCGTCAAGTGGTCCCCAAAATATCATGAGACTCAGTATGAAGCAAGTGGCAAACAGCTGCACAAATTGGCATTTCCTAACTCTCCGAGGATTTACGTACATCGTGGTGCCGTCTCCGATTCCTCGTTCCGCTTAAGGATTTGTCTCTTTGGGCAGAGTTCTTGTTAGCGAGTTTACAGTCTCTCCTTTAGGAGGCGTGTTCGTTGTAGATGCATCTTTCTCTCAGATCGTAGCTTCAATGGAAGTCAGTGCACAGGGACTTTACAAGCTCTCTCGCTCCAAAAGCTGTTCAGCTAGAACCGAAGGGGTGTGGGAGAGACTACAAGAGAACACCAGCCTAATATACTCCTTCCTCTTCTGCATCTTCACCTGACATCAATATAATCTCAGGGCTGGTGCTCCTTTACATCTTCAGAAAAAGGACGAATGCAAAGGTCTAAAAAAAAGTAGATAAAGGAAAACATGTTAGCCAAATGTTATTGCCATCCATAAAATCTTCTTATAAAAGGTCAGACCCAGAACAAGGGAACGATAATTATTCCAAAACCTTTTTTTTTAAAAGCCCAATTTCAAAGCTAATCAGCATGATAAAAAGAGCAGCAACGACTACAGATTCTTCACAACTGCCTCCCCTGCTCCTTAGGAACTTCTAAGTGAAAACAGCACCAGTTGGGCAGATGCTGGGCTATTCTTCATGCGTGCAACACTAGCACAAAAGGAAAGCTCACGTTCCTCGTTATCTCATAAGACGACGATGACATTGGATTTATATCCCACCCTTCACTACCCAAAGGAGTCTCAGAGTGGCCTACAATTCTTTTCCCTTCCCCTACCCACAATAGACACCCTGTGTGGTAGGTGGGGCTCTCTTGAGAACTGCCCTTGAGAGAGCAGCTCTGAGAGAACTTGTGACTGGCCCAAGGTCACACCAGCAGCTGCATGTGAAGGAGTGGGGAATCAAACCCGGTTCTCCCAGATTAGAGTCCGCCCTCTTAACCACTATAACAGACTGGCTCTCTTAAGCAGTACTTAAGATTCTGAACTTGGGAGATAAATGCTGCACAGGCTAATCAACATTTTGACCACTCAAGGAGTTTTATCATCTCAGGGGAAATTTCTAACAGTCCCGTAAGATAAGTTAATATTCTTCCAATGTTGCCTTATAGGAGACATGATAGAAATTGAACTTTGGGAAAGGTTCATTGTTCCAAGTCACAGCTGCCTGGGCCTGGAAGCACAGAATCATAAATCCATCCAGTGGTAGAGGGTGCTTAATCTTCCCCTGACCTTCTGCTTAGCCACCGCCTCCCCCTCCCCAAGCTGGTGTTTCTCAATTTGTAATGAAAAGCAAACAGGTAGGAGAAGTAGTATGGTTGCTTCCCCATCTGCCCTTTAGTGACCTCCACCGCTTTAGAAGAAGGAGAAGAAGAGATTGGGATTTATACCCCATGGCCCTTCACTACCCAAAGGAGTCTCAGAGCCGCTCACAAACTCCTTTCCCTTCCCCTCCCCACAACAAACACCCTGTGAGGTAGGTGGGGCTGAGAGAGCTCTGAGAGAAACTGTTCTTTTTCAAGGACAGCTCTTGTCAGAACTATGGCTTGCCCAAGGTCATCCAGCCGGTGTGTAAGCCGCTCTGAGACTTCAAGTGAAGAGCGGGGTATAAATCCAATCTCTTCTCCTTCTTCTACCCAAAGGAGTCTCAGAGCGGCTCACAAACTCTTTTCCCTTCCCCTCCCCACAACAGACACCCTGTGAGCAGTGTTCCCTCTAAGCTGAGTTAGTGTGAGCTAGCTCACAGTTTTTTAGCCTCCGGCTCACAGATTTTTGTCTTGGCTCAGGAAGGAGGGCTCCAGAACACACTAATTTATGCAGTAGCCAAATCACCTGCTCACAACTTTAATGCCAGCAGCTCACAAAGTAGAATTTTTGCTCACAGGACTCTACAGCTTAGAGGGAACATTGCCTGTGAGGTAGGTGGGGCTGAGAGAGCTCTGAGAGAAACTGTTCTTTTTCAAGGACAGCTCTTGTCAGAACTATGGCTTGCCCAAGGTCATCCAGCAGGTGCAAGTGGAGGAGTGGGGAATCCACCCCGGTTCTCCCAGATAAGTGTCTGCGCACTTAATCACTACACTAAACTGGCTGTATGGTTGAGATCTGGATTCCCTGGGTCTCCACCAAGCCTGTAGTCTCAGCCTTGGCCACTATCCGTAGGGTTGCAAGCTCTGGGCTGAGGAATACCTGGAGATTTTGTGGGTGGAGCCTGGGGAGGGTGGGGAAATCTCAGCAGGGTACGATGCCACAGAGTCCACCCTCCAAAGCAAGCATTTTCTCCAGGGGAAACTGATCTAGGGTCATCTTGAGATCAATTGTAATGGTGGGAGATATCCCGGCGCAACCCTAATCCTCTACCCAATGGTTATATTTCCACTACTTTAGATCTGGTGAGTTCTAGGGAAAACTCAACTACAGGAAGCAAGCAATACTGTTTTCCTTGCGCATTACTCCAGATCGCTGATCCACTCTGCAACCCTGTGGGGTTCAGAAGTTGCTGCAGAAAGGGAGGGGGGGAGATTACATGCACCTTCCGTGCTCAGACCCGTCGGAGTTGCACGGTTTAATTCAGTTCATTTATACCTCACCTTTCTCCACAACGGAGACCCAAAGAGGTTTACGTTATACTCTTCTCCTGCATTTTATCCTTACAGCGATCCCGTGAGGTAGGTTAGGCTGAGACAGTGTGATTGGCCCAAGGTCACCCAGCGAGCTTCCATGGCACAAGTGAGGGATCTGAACCTGGGTCTCCCCAGATAGTTGTCCGGCACTCTTAACCACGACGCCACGCTGGCTCTCCGTTAGCACAGTTCTCTAAAAACTTAAGTCTAATTTCGCTTAGTCAGTTAAAAGCAGCTGGTGAATGTAACCACTACCACTGCCTACCAGCAGGTCTCTTGGGGGGGGGGGTCCTTTACTCCACAGTACAGCTGCTAGGGATGCCAGCTTCAAGGTGGGACCTGGGGATCCCCCAGAATTACATCTCATCTTCAGACTACAGAGGTCAGTTCCCCTGCAGAAAATGGATACTTTGGAGGGCGGACTCTATGGCATTGTACCCCACTGAGGTCCCTGACCTCCACAGGTTCCACCCCCATATCTCTAGGAGTTTCCCAACTGAGAACAGGCAACCCTACCCCCCCACCACCGGTGGCCGGGGGACCTGGTAACCCTAAGCCAGTTCGGTGTAGTGGCTCGGAGTGCGGACTCTCATCTGGGAGAACCAGGTTTGATCCCCCACTCCTCCACATGCAGCTGCTGGTGAAACCTTGGGTCAGTCATAAGTTCTTTCAGAGCTGTTCTCTCAAGGGCAGTTCTCGAGAGAGCTCTCTCAGCCCCACGTACCTCACAGGGTGTCTGACGTGGGGAGGGGGAGGGAAAGGAGATTACAAGCCGCTCTGAGACGCCTTCGGGTAGTGAAGGGCAGGGTATAAATCCAATCTCTCCGTCTCTTAACAACTGCCCCCCCAATTATCCTCACAATATTGACACAGTGCCTCAAATTAAACATTTAATGCCACCTGTGCACCAGGTACTCTACAAATAACCAAACCCCCATAAGAACCTGCTGTACTTGGGTGGAACTAACATTACATGCAGTTTATTTAAAGGACTTTTTTACACTACAGAGTCACCCAAGGCCGCAATCAGCACAGGACAGGGATGACTTAATTCTCCCTGACTCCCCTTTTTTCGGCTTCAACATTTCCAGTCTCAGCAATGACATGCCTTACGGACACCTGAATCTTGAAACCAGAGTCTAGGCAGGGATGGGGTGCCTAATCTTTTCCCCAACTATATCTCTAGGGTATAACCTTTCGAGACTCAACACTCCCTTCGTCAGATACAAGTAGGAGCAGAGACCCCTGAGCCCATATATCCCCGCCGATAGGCGGGAAGGGTGTTGCCAAGAAGGGAGCCAGGAAGCAAAGGTATAGTGCAGAATATAATCAGCTTGATTAGAAGGGAGAAATTAGGGTTACTGTATTTTAAAAAGCAAAAAAAGGTGACATATTTCCCGACTGACCACTTCAAACAAGTGATCGATCTCATTTTAAATACCCCTGCTCTTAAAACAGAAATAGCCGGGGTATTTAAAATGAGACTGATCATATTTCAGTCAGGAAATACGTCGTCTTTTTTTCTTTTTAAAATGTGGTAACCCTTCTTTCTCCCCTCTAATCAAGCTGATTACATTCTGCCATGGAAGCTCCCTGGATGAGTCACACTCTCGGGCAACCCTACCTCACAGGGTTGTTGTGGGAATAAATGGGAAGAGACATGTGTGCGCTACTTTGTGCCCCCACTGGGGAGAAAGGTGGGATGTAAATAATAAAAAAACACCCTGATTTAAAATGCCCCCCCCCAAAAAAAAGTACCTAACACAGCCCTCTGCAATGATTAGATCTGCACTGTTTAGTTGATCTGACTTCTGCAAAACCCGGCAGCATCTAAAAGCCAAAATGTCTTTTCTTCTGGCTATATCCTTCCCCGTTCTAATCCTCCACCCCACCCTGTCCCCATTTTTTAATGATACATTATGTTAAATTAAAGGGGGCAATGGTTACTCAGCAATTGTGTCAGCTCCGACTGAACAACAGTGCCATGCGAAGGAAAATTAGATTCAAATCCTTGCTCAGTGCTTCGGGGGGAAAAAACCTGCCCCACGCTAGAATAACCCTGCTTATTGCACCGGACCACCTCAAACGTGTGCGCACAAAACCCCATCTCTTGTTCCAAGAAAGGAAAGCCGAACTTGGACGGCAAGCGACTCTTTTGTTTCCACCGAGCCCTCGTGCATAGTTTGCTGTCGGGAGAAAGGGTATCTGGATTTGCCTCTCGGCGGCCATATCGTGCGGCCGTGAGGCCATTTCCTTCCACTTTGGGGCGCTCCGGATGGGGAGACGATATACGCAAGGAATCCTTCCGTGCGTTTCAGGACGGGGAGGGGGAGAAAAGCACCTGCTCTGGTCCTCCTCCGGGAGAAGCCATGTTGAATTCCCTGAGGTAAAGAACCCCCCTCAAGTGGTTAAGGGCACTGTTCGCACAGCACGCCAAGGAGGACCACGCTCAACTCAGAGTGTGGGGGAGGCCCGGTGACCACCCGCTGGTACAAAACCACAGTCGATCCTCATGCCTTCAAGTCCAGGAAGGGAAGTGCCTGAAGGCCTCCCTCACAGGGCTGAGGGGGCAAAGGACGAGAAAGGCTGTTATACCCCCACTGTGGAGGCCCACGAAGCCAGCTGCCCTTTCTGAGGGAACATGGCCACAAGCCTTCACACACACACCCCTCTCTCTAGCCTCCTCTTTGGGAGAGAGAGAGAGAGAAAAAAAAAAGATACAGTAAAGATACACTTCAGTTTAAGTCCCTCTCGATCTTCT